TTCACATATTAAGTTGGATTGTAGACTAAATAAACAAGTTGTGCTTGACGTTAAAATATGCTACCTTATTTAATTCCGATGTGAAAAGCTTTTGAGACTCAGATTAATTCTGGAATAAAAAGTTAGTTGCCTGTAGCCGTGTGGGGGTGTAATAACTTCGCCATGTATTTACATTCAGGTATCAAAGTGAGTAGGAGCTGCTACCTGACATCTAAACTGTAGTCACACCTCGGAGAGATACACTTTTTTGAGACAAGGAAATCTGATTACATTTGTTTTTGGAAAACTACCAATGATTGGTGTGGTCCCCGGTATCGTCGCAGTCTTCTTTAGATTTATAGAAGTGGGCTGACCTCGTTACCGCAACTTGGTCTTGTTGTTAGGGCGACTACTATGGCAGAGAATTTTGGACAAGGTGTGTTCTACTAAGTCGCTCTGACAACAAGACCAAGTTGTGAAAACGAGGTCAACCCACTTTTATCAGTCCTTGGATTACTTTACGCTACCTATTGTAACAAGGTTCGTATTAAAAACTGTTACTAAATACAAAACTCTGTATTGTATTGCGATTAACATACAACATAAATTGGCATAGCTTGGCAGTGAAACTAAATGAAGGAAGCATTTCTATCATGTAAACATTACTCGAGCATATCAGCTGATTAACCTTGACTAATGAGATTACGAGGCAATGCATAAATTTCAGTACATGTTTTGGAAGAGATGTTATAAATGACAATTTGCAACTCTCAGCAAACCTTGTCATCATCTTCAATTACTACCGGGCGGAATGACGTCCAATGCAGTGCAAAATGCTGCATAGTCTGATATAACTCGACAAAAATTAGGCTATGATAGCTGTGAAACAAATGTGTCATGTACGAAGAAAAGTTGGGTTTCGAGGAATCTCTTGTTTCATAATTGTTTAGCTTACTTCCATTTCGAGTGCCAGTGTTGGGTGAAGAGATTCGAAGGTCGCTTCCACCAGAAGACCAGCTGTCGTCTTCTGGTGGAACCGACCTTCGAATCTCTTCACCCAACACTGGCACTCGAAATGGAAGTAAGCTCAACAAATCTGTCATGCTTGACAAGGTCCAATAGAAGTCATGCTTTTCCAGCCTCAAGGTGAGCTCATGCGGAAAGTGCATATTTTCCCACATTTAACTTGGCTTCTGTAGCTCAGATGATGTATTCCTCAGCACTACGCAGAGGAGAGAGTAGCGAAAATTTATGAATGTCTGTTGAATTTGAGTCGGCCAGCATGATACGTAAATTTTAGGTTGTTTCTGCTTCTTCTAAGGCCGCAGGCAGTATTAGTCAATCTAGCATCCCAGAGCCTTGACAACCGTAATCGCGAGTGAATACAAATATCAGAGCTTGTCGTTTCTGATGGAATTGAGGACATGGAACTCGATTACCCGGTAGTCAGCTGTCAGGCACATTTGCAGACTTGAGCTTCTGCTAAATGCGGATTATATCGGACGTGAAATTCGGAGACCCGAGGGGTAGGATTCAAGCTGAATGGGGGAGGGGGGGTGGATTGGAAGGATAAGTCATAGTTAAACACAAATCTAGGAAGTACGGACCATTCTGTTCTACTGCAATAGGAGCAGAATAAAAGTCCGTTGAAAGCATCAGACCTGTCAACTTTATATATACTTTTCACTTGACTAAAATATTCACTCACACCACCCGCGAACAGGTTGTAGCCACACCCATCGAAATGTTTGTCTCTGATGGGTAGTTGCCTAGTTGCAACTCCAAAGCAAGGCCAAATACGTCGAAATGGAGACAATTTCCGTCGAAAAAGAAGTCATTACCAGCCATGTTATGGCTACCAATTTCGGTTGAATAACCAGTCTTGCGTAAGGAGAATGATTCACAATTTACTATCGGATTCCGTTACTGAATCGGTCACCAATGTTTCATTTTGCACATTTAAAAGGCATCATTCACATGAGCAAAGTGCAAATACAGACAGCAAATAAACGAGGTCAAACCAAATCCCTAATCAAACGTTAACATGAAAACGGCAAAAAACAATTTTCTGTGACATGTCTTTCCATTCGGATGGGAAAGTTGTCTAGAAGAAATTGCTGAATTAATGAAGGCCGGCTGAGCTTTCGTCTGTCACGCCAGTTGAATGAGATAATTAGAACAAGGACGCATTCATAAGTCCGTCTCGCGTCAAAAAAAACTATTTTTTTCCTGTAATATACGCAGCCAGTCTTAGAATGACTTTTATATTTCCATACTTTTATGTATGTGTGTACATATATGTGGATATAAAATGCATATGAAAAGGGCAAGACTCATCGATATTGAGCTATTCAAAGTTGTGATAGCATGCAGCGGAAGAATGGAGTGCCACTTTGGTCACAATATAGAGAAAGAAGACCTAAAGTCATACCAATACCTATAATTTATGGTTTGGCCAAAAGGACTAATTTTCAACCAAGACATTGAGCTTAAGCAGGCATCAAAGTGGTGCCAGGCCTGTGTAAAGTCGAAGGAAAAGCGAGAACTACTGATATGCGTGGCCTCCTCTCTCCCACAGTTACCAGATCTCAACTACATGGGAACTCTTTGATATCATTTAAAAGAGAAAACATTAAACATACCGTCGCAGCACAAGAGACTCTTTGAGATTATTTAAAATAGTGCTGAAATAGCATGTATTTTCAAGTTCTGCAAATACTGGTAGGATTGGTGCCAGAAAAATTCTAAGCCATGTTTAAAGCAAAAAGTGGTCATAACAACCCAAAAAAATTTTTGATTTACACATTAGTGAAAAATATTGTCATCTTGCTTGAAAATTATCGGTTGAATAATAATTTGTATTACTTTGTTATAGATGATGATATTGAAAACACATTTCTCGGCGGGGAATTTAGACTTGCAGACCCTACTGTACATTTTCACTCGGTTGTGGCATGCAATCAGGGCACTTTGGTGAGTCTGAGAAGGCAGATAATTTATGCACTGCCACAAAACTGCCCAACTTTAGGTAATGCAGAGTTGAGAAGTTCCAGGCGGCCCGACAACCAAGCCCCAATTTAATAAAGACGATAGGTTGTTTGAGGAATCCCCTAATAATTCAGTCTCATTGGACTCTTGAACTCGCAGGACAACTTTGTTGGATGGAAACTATTTGAGGCTGTTTGATAGGCATAGAGAGCGGAAGAGGGAATGCGAAGAAGGGCTTGGCACGAGAAAAAGACTTGCCTAGCCTCGAATATGATTAACACCCAAATCCAGAATTCAACAAACAAACACGAACAGCCACATACTCCTCAACACGCCGACACAGCGAGTCAACATGTTCGAGTAGTTACGTCATAAATTAGCTATGAAGACATCCAAATCCTCTACAAGCATCAACATGCATCATTTGCATGAAAACATGTGTTGAAAGGGGGAAGAAGCAAATCCAGACCTGGGATGCCTTCTTATGACGGAAACATTAGTTTGTCAAGTTGTTTGGATAATTTTGATAACTGGTGAACTCCCGCTCCGAAGATAGCCTTGACTACAAGAATGACGAAAGCTCGACATTAACCAATCAGAATGGCATGACGATGCATCGACGCCTTCCAAATCGTCCAAATCAACACTTCTAAATGCAAGCATTCGGTTGCCACGGTGGGTAGGTTAGTTCCAGTTTGAGTAGATATTAATTAATAGTTCTTGGTCATGATCAGCTCTTATCGAGACCTGACCTTCCGCTTTGAAGGAAAACTTGACTGGAAGCATTTTGTCAAACGGTCTCACCGGAAAACAAAGGAGGATTGCGATGGGGTAGAGTTTATCGGACTGTGCACAGAAGTCCTCAGCTCATCGTCCTGCAACTCCAATGAACCTGTGCTAGGCTTTCTCCTGTCCTATAACCGTTGGCTTTATGGCAAGAAACCATGCTTTAATACAAAATACATGAAATATAATAAATCAAGAAAATAAGGGTACGCTTTCTCGTAAAGTATGATTTCTCGCTCTGACGACGCCTATCATATGACAGGTGAAATCTTAGCCCAATTTCATCGGGGTCACAGGACATCTTTGCATATTCTAACGGATTTCAATTTGTAGCAATCCTCCTTTGGTTTCCAGTCAGGCCCTTTCATGGATTTCTTTTAACCAACTTTTCCTTCGAAATGTAAAATCAGGTGACAAGAAATCACAAAAGAATTGTACAAAAGTGAACTTTTCTTTATAGTTTCCTGGACACATCTGACAATGTCTATCTAATGGCATGACAGACAAAGGTTTAGACCTCCGTCTTATAATTTAGAGGAGAATTTCTCAAGGACAACGCCATACTAGGCAAGCATGAAGCTATATCTAAAAATGAATGCCATAATAGCATCAAAAGCCTGCAGAAAAATAGGGTGCAGCGGAAGACTTTGCTTCAGTTTTACCCTTTTCTCGTATAATCAGGTACTTCCACACAAACTGAGCTCCACCTCCACAAATGATACAGTTCGACTGTTTGTGTGTTCATCAAGTAACTGTAATCCATCCGAGTATCGTCCCAACTGAACCATCTGGTACCGGCGACTTCACAGACAGACCGATGTGATTAATGCCAGTCGCATTGCCTCATTAGCCATGGATTGTGTCATAATGAACTACGTTCCATACCGCCTTGAATGGGAGAATAAGAGGGCTGAAGATAAAAAACTGCAAAGTAGATTGATAAGCTCAGCAACAGGTAAAATACCATTGCTAAGTTATTTGGATAAAAAGTGACGCCAGCCTGGTATCATTGGCCGAATTGTTCAACACAATTAGGCCAAACTTACATACCCGCTGGGAGGGCAGCAAGTATACAGATTTGTCCGATAATCAGATTACCCAGGGACGGGGGAAAACATTTCAGTTAACATGCCTATCAGAAGTACAGGATCTGCTTTTGAGAAGCCATGCTACAGGTTTCCTTCATTCAGGCGATCAAGCCTATTCCAATCGATTTTCAAATCTGCGCTTGCTTGCCCTGGCAACCGTCACGTCCAATGGTTAGACAAGCTGGGCAGACGATCTGAGGGATTGTAGAGATCCAAGTGAGAGGCGAGCCTATGCTGGCAAATTGGTATTGGGTCGGGAAATTGCCGGTTAGCCGCGTGGTTCAGGTGGTCGACTGTGTGCTTGTCATCCGACAAGTCACCCCACGAAAGACCAACTTTCAGACCCTGTTTTCTGGCAACCCTTATAGCCACCACAACAACTGAACATGCCATATCTCGGTTTCCACACGCAATCAAGCAGGCCGCGGAACCATTTGAGCGGACGATATATGATCCCATTTCTGTAGACCCCACCCTCACTGGGCATACTCGGCAAGGCTGACAACAGGAAATGGTGGATAGCAAACCTGCTCTGAATGCGTGGATGACAAGAGTATGCAACGAATTAAATGGTGTACTTCTTTCTCGAAATTTGGTATTGTTGTTAAGGCAACTGATTTAAGCAGAATTTGGACAAAGTTGACTTTAATCGCCGTCGTGGCAATTAGCAGCGTCGAAACGTGGACGAATTTGACGTTTACAACTCGACCAAATTGTGAAAAGACATCTGACCACATTTGCTGTCTAGCTTTTCGAGACTACCAGCAAATATGATATTTGGGTTTTGTTCGCCCTATTTCGTTTAATGCGATAAAGGACTGGCCTTTTAACTTTCCCACCATGATATGAGTAGAGCTGACGTGCCCATTGCATTTCACATAGACTTGCTTTGCTACAGCAAGTATAAGTTTGCTTTATCGACAATTCCAACAAAATGTGACATGGAAAATGCCGTACCTCCTTTAAAATGCACATCTGCCCTGTGACCCAAGGGCACTCTTGGCAATGTGGCGTAGTGATTAACGTGTCGATAGTACACGCTACACTGTGACGGTTCGACTCCCACTGGGGGCGTTGATAAGACCGATGCGAGGTCGAAACTGCAATCCAACCTGAAGGAGAACAACTTTTGGGAAAACAAGGTTATGTAAAGTTCAATGGAAACGTCAGCTCTACTCATATCATTGTGGGAAAATTCCACTACCAGTCCTTCATTACCTTTAACGAAACAGAGTGAATACAACTCATATTCTAAACTTTCGTCTCTCATGCCATTTAATAGGCGTCGATTTAGTTGAAACCCTTTTTTACAAACTACCCCATCGAGCCAGCATCACGTCAGGATGGCTGACCGAAATGGGCTATAAGATTTAAAGTAAAGGAATCCTTGTGGGTATGGAATGATGTACTTAGTGACTTTTTATGCATGTCTATATATATGAAGTTGTAATTGTGTGTGTGTGTGTGTGTGTGTGTGTGTGTGTGTG